CATAGGACCCACTTAGTTTTTAGTCAAATTTCCGTGGTGCTTGGCGACTGGGCTTCACCCAGTTGTACAGTCTCTTCTTTGTGCCTTTAGGCTTAATTCATTCTGTCTCCTGCAGTAATTCACCGAGGGAAGTGGAAACCATAGTTTTTTCTTCTTCTCCTCTTATAATATCTTCTGATTCACTTCGTTGCGGGAACCAAGACAGTTACTCATGTGTTCCGGTGTTTTCATGGTTGTATCTACTGTAGATCCTGGCTTACAGGAGTTGCAGCGGTTTTGGGAGGTTGTGGCGGGCTTGTCCCATTAAACATACTTAATACTTACGGTTAATCCTCCTGTAGAACTTAAATTCATCTTAAAATGCAGACACATACTTATGTAGACAAGAATACAAATGTACCTGTATTCTTGTCTACATAAGTATGTGTCGTGACGTAACAAATGGTTTTTCTTTCTCTCTTTCCTGTCTAAAAGACTTAAATCGTAACCTCGTAATACTATCCCAGAATTTATAAATTGTGTTCTTAATTAATTCTAAGGTAAATCGAATGATGCATTGCAATAATTTCAATGGCAACAAACACCGTTTAAAACTAATACTCGTTTAATGATAGAATACCTCAAATACTCTGTTATTGCGAAGTATTTTAACTATGGTTAATTAACCGTAAGTATCAATTAACAAGTTAGAAATAAGGTTTAGGAGACAATACTAATACGTTAAATAGCAGTTTATAACTTCGTAGCTAATTAATCAGTCTGAGGCAACGATAGGTGTATTATCAATTAAAATGACTGGTTCTAATTATAGTACTACAAATTTTATGATTTGTTAGCTAAATTGAATTATTTGTGGTTTATTCTGTAAAAGATTGTCTGTAGCTTTATCATCGGTATTCTCTATTAGCCTATAGAGTATACTAACTGAATCCGCAACTTTGTCTGCGTTTTTGTAAAGGAATTTCCTGTTATATGACGGTATAACATAATTCTTGACATTTAGTAAATTGGTATTACTGCAATGTCGAAGTAATTAGTGGGCTGTGTACAGTTATTACAAGATATTATTAAGATCGATTCAGAAGTGTAATACGTGCATATGACTGACTTTGACTGCACGGTTGGCGTTGTGGCTAGGCAATCCGCTGTCGAGCAACGTGTTGCGGGTTCGATTCCTGCACGTTTGTGTTATCCATTGATTGTTGTTCCGAGTTTTGGTGTCATGTGTATGTGAAATTATATGTTTTTAAATGCACCCACGACACAGGAGAAAATCCTAGCGTGGGACAAAGTTTAAAAATGAAAAACAACGACATCAAGAAAAAAAAGTCGATAATATTTTTTGTTTGAATACGATACTTACGAAAAATTACATTGATTAACATCACAGCACATTACTTAAGAATTTAGGAAACCGCCAAAAAAATGAACAAATAAAATCATGTATGTTTTATCGACTTCATTCCAAATTAATATAACCTTACTCTGTATTTATCATTGTGTTGTAACCTACAACATGAGAATAAAATAATGTATAAATTATTTATTTATGAACAATGTAGCCACAATATATTATCTGCATAGTACAAAGGTATAAAGTAATAAATGCTATATTTATAATTCAAGAGCTTTAAATATAAAAATATTGTGATGTGGCAACACCGCGGCCACATGCGAGAACGTATTGTCAAAATGTAGATATTGTACCGTACAACAATAAAGCAAAAAAAAATGCTCTGTCGGTCGCTGTGCCAAACAAAAAGTTCTGTCACAAAAGGCCGTATGGTATAAAATAAAATAAATAAATATTTTATATTTTTGCACTACGTAATCTACTTATGTTTTACGTAAAGAATGCTGCAAAAGATTACTGCTTTATGTATGCCATTTCAGGATTTAAATTTTCCATTAGTTAAAAAGAAAGGGATTCTTTAAAGAAATATTAACTAAAAACACGTATCCATATAGTACTGTTTTATTTAGATTCTAAATTTTTTTTAAGAATCGTCGCCCCACTAGGATTTTCTCCTGTGTCGTGGGTGCGTTTACAGACATACAATATCACATACACATGACACCCAGACCTGGAACAACAATCTGTGGATCACACAAAGAGTTGTTCCGTGCGGGAATCGAACCCGTGACACGTTGTTTACTTATTTACTTTATTGCTATTACTTTAAACTTTTCAACAATTTTGAACTATGAAGAAGTTCCTGTTGGCTATGAAAACTAAAGCTGCGTGACGCGCCCCATTTTAAACCGTAAGAATAACTTGTTCACAGTTCCATTAGCGGTTTTCTGCTAGCAGATATGGCACTTTAGCAAAAGATGAAAACTGTATGTAACTGTGGGAACCATAATAATCATTTTATCTGCTGGTTTTGTTAAGCCATTGGCTGGCTCCCATTGAGTCCTGTAGTAAGTCAAACAAGTGAAACAAATGAAACAAGTGAAACAAGTGAAAAAATGAAACAAGTGAATTTATTTCTGCAAATAGGCTACACACAAGGCAGCACTTTTACACGTCAATTTTATCAAGCGAACGATGAGGTCGAAGTAGAAAAAAAAGAAGAAGTAGAAGTAGAAAAATTTCCTGATTATCACGACACGACATAGAGATGAATCTGCATGTATACATGAAATTGATGTACCAGTTACAATTTGCCAAACTGCAATATCAACTGTACTTAGTCAGACATGTGAATTGAATCTAAACCCTTACCACCGAAAACTATACCAGCGACGCTGTTTGCAGGAAAAACTCGCGTAAGACATGGGCTTTTTAATTCTTACATATGAATTAGCTTACCTACTATAATGTTACAAAGTACCAGAGTTACCAGACAACCAACCTCCCTAGACCGTTTGTCTTCAACAGATTTTCGACTTTATATCAAAAAGATAAAATTGAAAATGAGTTAAAGAAAATGGATATTTGGCATAGACATCAAGTACTTAGTTGAGTACCTACTTATATATTGTGCGAATCATCCATTCAGATGTATATGCAGGTAACCTTTCCACGAACTCGTCTCATCTTTGACACCATAGTCTTTGTACCTACTAAGTGTATGTTTCTCAATGTTTTAATCAAATGTGGGAGAGCCATGCTTCGGCACGGGGCTGGCTCGATCGGAGTGATACCACGGCCTCAGAAAAAACCAATTGTGAAACAATTCTTGCGTTGTGTTTCGTTGTGTAAGTGAGGTTACCGGAGGTCTAATTATCCCCTCACCAATCTCCGAATCCCCAATAATCCTCAAATTCCTAATCCCCAAAAGTCCGGTAACCATGTCGGTGTCGGAGTCCATGGGCGGCACCGATTGCTTACCATAAGGTGATCCGTCCGCTCGTTTACCGGCTTATTACAAAAAAAAGAAAATACTATCAAATTGCGCTTTTCTACACTACATTCAAACTTAATGAATACTTTTCTGAACATATTTTACATGCCTTATCAGATTATAATGTCTCATATATTGTTCCTGCCCGCGGTGTCATTAGTTTATAGCCAGTCTGAATAACCTGTCTCGATAAATTCGTTGACTAAAGATACAATTTTGTGACGTTTTGCCTCTCCTCCACCTCCACAGGTTAGTTCAAAATCAAAAGTCTGTCTCTCGTAGCTAAAAGCTAGTTTGTCTAGCGAAAAATACTTTGTAGGTAAGTACTTAAGTATCGTGACGGATAAGAATAACTTAAAAAGGTATAAACACGACCTTGAGTACCTATATTTTTAGTTACATTTAACAACATTTCTATGTATTTAGACTACGATGTTATAACTTTGACTAGGAAAAACATCTTTAACTAATTGAATTAGAGCTTAACATTGACAAGCATTAATTGATTGGCCTTTCAGTATTCATAACCAATTGAAGTTGGATTTCTTTCATATATGTCCTATTCCTGTAGAAATATCGACATACGAAGTAACATGTTTTAATTCCTGAAAAGCAACCTTCCCAATGGTGAACAAACTTTTCAAATCCATTCAGTAATTTCAGAGTTTTAAACGAACAAAATATCAAATCTTGTTTCTTTGTTATACTACTATTGACGTAATAATAGCGTTACAGCAGATAATAAATAGTTTCAGTTGTAATTTATATTTCAAGATTGAGTATAATTATCGAACATCCCACTTCTTTAATTAATTAATTAGGTACCAGCGTTTCTAATAATAGAATTGTAATTTTAGTAGAAGTAATTAAACATCTATTTCAGACTGAAATTGGAATGTCATACGATGATAATGTCATGAACAAAAAGGGTCTAAAATTGTAATTGATGGCGAACCTTTTGTCAAATATTGGACACGATACCGAACTCTTTGCTATTTATTAGGTACTAAGAATTTCGGTGGTCAACGAAAATCTAATTATATTTTTATCCAACCCTTGATTTCCCTTATAAAATTGAGAAATAAATCAATAGACGTAACAAGAACAATACAATGAGTGTTACCCGTTTTAATGTGAGGGACATGTATGTAATACAATATGGTTACTTAAACCTGGCCTTAATTCTTGCTTAGTCTTTGTTATTCCAAGTTCCACTGACCTTGTTTACTTACTCATGCGATACTAAATGTAGCACCTCAACGTACGTGCCATAAATAACACATACTTAATTACTCATTCGTAGACGAAAGCCCCTAAGATATACTTACATATATACCTAGGTACACATGTTCCAAGTAAGTACATATAAAACGTATAGACATGATTCGGAGACGGCAAAATTCAGTACAATCGTGGACAATGGGTTATATAAATGTAGGTACGCATTTGAACATATTTAAGTAGGTAGTTATGTACTGTTTCTCAAGCCATTCAAATCACTTAGCCTTGAGCTCACAGACAGCCTGGCCCCATCCGTACGATGACATGTACCGATGTAGATATGCCCAAAATAAACATGCATGTTATCTACACAAATTAGACGCACTCGTATGTACCAAGCCTATTAAACCACAATACAAGCAGCTTACTCACAATGGGATGGGTTTCTACAATCACTGTTCAACGTTGTACTCGTTGACCTTAAAATGTCCTGCAACGATATAAAAAACTAACATTAATATTGTTGATTAATACATCGACGCTTTAATAGAATACTTAATTACTGCTCATTGAAATTCAATGTCATAACTCTTAACTTTTTATACATAGTTACAAAACAGACTAGTTTTTTCCTTAAAAGTTTTTCACCATGTTTGAGAAACTAGACACTTTTCGGTTAATCGTAGCGAATCGATCTTAAGGAAAACTGACACCGACGAAGGCTTGGCTCGGCACTAATCGATTGCCAATATTGAATTATAAGTTAGTTGCACTGAGAAACGTTATATTTTACGGTTAGTTTCGTTCTACACCGCAATTCCCTTTTTTGCTACCAAACGCATATAAAAAGAGCTCGATTATGAAAATAAACTTTTCTATTTGCTTACAGCGTTTGTTTAGTAAAGTAAATAAGCGTGTTGGATGAACGTCAACACCGTTACAGTGTGGATATATTTAATAGTTTTTGTTGGGAATAAAGTTGTAGGTCGTTGAGGTAATTTATGGCAAATGACCACCTACGCGCCACTAATCGCTTAGTTAAACATCGCTCTGAAAGCTGTAGTTTGTTATCTGAAGTTTAGCACCTCCAAAGTCGTCACTATCCAAGCAAAAGGTGTTACTTTTAGCTCCATCCATTCGTCCAAATGAATTATTTACTCGGCTTTGTTGAGTGGAAAGAACTCCTCACTTATCCAAGTTTGTTCTTGTAAACTACGCCGGTACCTAGGATGTGTATGTGCAAAACTATTTATAAAATGACTATTTACTCAGGTTTGTTTACATCAAGTACAAAAATGTCATTTTTTAAAACAACTAGGTGTTAAAAAGTCAAACTTATAGAATCATCTGTAACTGCAAACAACTATGAAGGACGAAAATTTGAATACTAAATTTTGTTACATAATTATAGACCGCCTTTGTATTCTTTGCGTGTAAGTACGTAAAGTTATTTTAATAGCGAGTTTCTTTGGAAATTGTGTACAATAAAGTATATTCTATTCTATTGTAATTAATCAAATCACAAATGTACCAGACCGAAAGAAGAAATATTATATTTTTAGTGTATTAAAAATATATTTAGCTAAGTAAATATCCCACGCCTGAACGACCTCCTTTTCAATTTGCTGCACACTTATATTAACTTGAACAAAAACAATTTTCTAATATCAATAAATTGGTTTTGTAGAGACTTACGAAGGGTTGAAGGAGACCAATAAACTAGCCAATTAATAACCATCTTGTAATTTAGTTTGTAATACAATAGAGAACACTAGCTCGACGGCCATTGAGATAACTAATTGCTAAATCTGTGTACTATATGAAAATTAATTTTGAACTTAAGATGTGGAGCATGAACTTTCAAGGTTAGCCGTTGATTAATCGCGGTTTAACTTGACTTGGCTCGACGCAACACGCAACATTCAGATGAATAATCCAAGGGTGCTCGTAATAATAGACAAAACCTTGCCATGCGCGTGATTATTCCGACTTACATACATGCGTATGTACAGTACGTATATGCGATTGATGATTGAGTAATCACACAAAAAACTTAATTAATCGAACCTTAAAAATACTTCCTACAAGGCACAGAAACCTTCAAATGTTGTGTGGTATCGTGACCGTATTTTCAATCACATTCCCACTCTGATACGAGATTAAAGAATCGAACCCATTATGTTAATACTGTACATTAGGATTTATTTCTCCGTTGCGTCCTCCGAGGTCCTATTATGGAATCAATACTACTACTTACTTCGATCTCAGTTCGTACATTTTACTTTCACCGAGCGGTATGTAAATAGAGCTAGTTCTCTACTGTTGTTTGTGTCGCTGCGATATTGTTTTCTAAATAGATGCTTAATAACAGTTACGTTCGTTGCCCCGGAAATAATATTAGTATCGGAAGACTTGTGTGCTCAATATATGAACGTTGTGGAGTCAATGTTTTCATAACTAGCGAACAGAAACCGGCGAGGACTGAATAATCTATAGCGCGTTTTATAACAACTGTATGATGATATATACACTTGCTGGACGGACAATGTGGGTCGGATGACACCGCGCCTAACCCACCCCTTGAACAATAGTCTCGTTAACTTCAACAATAACCGCTCACCTGCGCCCCGGCTCTGCCCGTCTGACTGTTGTAATCGAAGAAAAAACGAATCAAACCCTTTTAAATAGGTGCCTATGACCTGATATCGTTTATTTGTGGTCCATTTTGTCTGACGGTGACATTTAGCTTTGTCGCGTTGTCACAAGCAGCCTATTAAGTCTGTGTGTACTTTATCTGCGTATGTGTGGACTTTAAGCCCGATACATAAACTAGCATGTTGCAGACTCGTTGTATAAACATCAAGTTTTATTGCTTGGCTGTGTTCCACGCACGAACGTTAAACCCGCTCGAGCCCTGAAGCTGTTAGTATTTGCAGTATAGTTGGCTGCGAGCTGCGAGCTGTGTAACATGTAGCGTGTAGCGTGCAACGTGGTCGGGGAGTCGTGACATCAGTATGCAGCGCGCGCGCCGCCGCGTCCCTCTCTCCGGTCGCTAGGCTTTCACGCCTAACGCACTCGCTTCTAAGGATAACGTTACACTGCCGACTACGCGTAAATTGTAAGTATTCATTATGAATAAACTTTCTCTTCATTAACAACTTACTGCAGGATTTACAGCCTCGATTTAGTTACATAAGTACTGCTTACATTCATTCAATAATTTTCTATAACAATATTCCGATGTAGGTTTAGCTGTAATATTTTAAAGCCAAATAATAATTTTAAGAGATAATTCTAACGACATTATCAAACAATCTCACTAAGTCACGTAGATACTTCATAGAGACTAATGACCAAACTTTAGTAAAAGTTAGACAGTTGTTCAGGTCAAGGTTAATTTTTAATTAACATAAAGATTTTACCATAAACAACTAAGATTTAGAGCAGTTTAACATTGCTACAGAGTTACTAGGTATCCATCTCTATCACGAAATATACCTCCTCCCCTGTCAAGAACTAGATCCACTAGAAAACAAACAAATACTAAGTTTATTTTTTAAATGAATACGAACTGAATCACTATCCTTTTACGCTGATACCCTCTCAGGAAATTCTTTCTAATGAAATTAGGAATACATACGCGGCTACATGTTCCTGAAGATTATATACTTAGGTACGTAATACGCATCAGCATCGCCTTGAAAAGATTATGAAAAGAACGGAACAATATTTTTTGCTTTTCATGCAAAATTCGCAACGCGCTCTACCTACTTATCCGACCGTTCTCATTCAGCGCGTTTTACCAACCTACTCATTTAATATTAAGGCAAACTGAAATGAAGTTTCGGAATTAGATACAGGAGTTACTTGTGGATTTTGTACGTAGTAATTGGTTCAGTTTACTTTTTTTTTTAATGGGACAAGTCCGCCAGAAGCTCCTAAAACCGCTGCAACTCCTGTAAGCCAGGATCTACAGTAGATACAACCATGAAAACACCGGAACACTGAAGTCCGGCGCGTCCCAGGGACATGAGTAACCGTCTTGGTTCCCGCAACGAAGTGAATCAGAAGATATTATAATAGGAGAAGAAGAAAAAACGATGGTTTCCACTTCCCGCGGTGAATTACTGCAGGAGACAGAATGAATTATGCCTAAAGGCACAAAGAAGAGACTGTACAACTGGGTGAAGCCCAGTTGCCAAGCACCACGGAAATTTGACTAAAAACTAAGTGGGTCCTATGTGTGAGCTGTTATACTTGCTTCCAATAATAGGTATGGCAAAAACGCCTAAATGCACGGAAATTCGTTCTAGATTCCACAAGGTCCGTATAATATGCTACACCCTACGAAACAATTATATTATTTTACATTGTGTTACGTTCATATTGCCAGAGATCACACTCCCAGAGTATGTGATGGGCCGAGTGCTCGTATTGCAACTCCTCTGTTGTTCAGTTTACTTGCTTAACCAGATCAAATGTTGTTCCCGAGATAAAGTTCATTTGGATGGCTTGTGCGTCCATTCTTCGCGGTTACCGTCCCGACAGTAACTGATGGACGGCTGCCAAACCTACAGAACAAACTACGAATGCTATATTTTCATGCCAAAATATTATATCTCCTATACAATACTGCAATACACTTCCATCATACTTGTCTCGCATTTCGTGAAATCGTAAAACCATTTGTGAATGTTACCCAACAACTGCATTTTTCACCACAAATAAGAAACTTTATATTTGGTTTTATCGCAATAAATTGACCGACTTATTTTTAACGTATTCCATCAGATATATATGGGTGTCCCAAACTGCTCCACAGTAGCTTTACATATTTGCATAATTAATATACTTATGCCATATAGCGCGACCCAAGAACAGTTGTCTATCCTTTATATGTTAAGTATAAAACTAGTAAAACGCTGTATATGTATTCCAGGCTGCGTTTGTTGCTATTGTTTTGAAACGAATTACTATCCAGAACATAAAATTAAATCCTCATTCGTAGGCGGCGCGCGGCGGGAGTGGCGGCCGCTGATTTGGATGCGCGCGAGGATGTTCACAACGTACAGTACGTCGGCAGAGCGGGCGGCGTGTGCGCCGAATCCCAATGTGCAATTATATTTAGCTTGTATTGCAATTATCGCACGTTGAGTTAACAGAATCTGTGTCAGGGCGTCGAGCAGCCGCGCCGCGCTTGCGACACAGGACACCCTGAACACCTACTACGTTATCTATCCGCTTAAAGCTGTAATCAGCTTTAAAGCGCCACAGCCGCATTCGTCTGCGATAACTGCGCCTATATAAATTACGTAGCCGCGACACTGGCTGAATAATAAATTAGAGCTCAGCTAAAACGCGACCGCGCTCTAATCTGCGTTCATGATCTTTATTTCGGATCACCGATTGTTGATAATAGTCATTCCGATACGTTATTAGTGCGCTAACAATACATATTAATAACTAAGTACTGGCTGTCAGAACTTACAG